TGACTCTTAACTTTTATAAAGAATATCTCTTTGGATTTGAGACTTTAGTCTTTGCAAATTTACAGATCTTCTTTATGCACCAAGAGCTTGTAACACTCCAAAGAGAAAGGAGAAATTGAAATCGCATCATATGACCCCTTTAACCTTTGTATTTTTATTTATTTAAACAAAATCGTAATATTAACCGTTTATCTGTTAGTAGCCATGAATTGAAAATAAATATTGGTGTATCCCGGAATAAACACTCATTGAGCGCTGTGCATTTTTATATACTATATTGTCTAATTTATTTAGACAAATTGGATAACATTTTAATATCATCCATTTAGTGGTTAGTAGCCATGACATGAAAACGAATATTGGCATGTCCCTAATTGCTAGAATTTTAAAATAGGCGCATCCCTGAATAAACACTCATCGAGCATTTTGTCAAGTCAAGTCACCTTTGTTTTTTATAGCTCTTTATACAATATAGCCTGTGTCAAAGCAGCTTCACAGTGCTAAACAGGAAAATAGCAGAAAATAACTTATGAAAACTCAGCTATGGAGAGTATTCAGATTCTACTAAAGTAGCTCTAATATGTGTCATTATTTAGCTCAAGTCAGTTCAGTTCAGATAGGGCTGCATGATAAATTGTATTGTATTCATGATCACAATTTTTTATGTTCTCGATTATATTTTGTATTCTCAAGTGTCTGTTATTTGGCAGTTGCTTTGCTATAAAAAATGTCTGCTTATGCAATAAATGTGAATGTAAGGTAGATTTATCTATTGTTCTGAATGTGTGCAATTCTTCAGTTCACTCTGACTTTAATGAGTGTTTAATCTCATTCCTCTCTCACTATTTCAGATTTCTCAGGAGGAGTATCAAGTTCCCCGTTCCAGTCTGTCACCTCCTCCCCTTCCTCCTAAAATACATTCACTCTCCCCTTGTCCATCTCCCAAACCACCCTCCAAATCCTTGAGCATAGGCACACAGGTCAGCCAGTCTAGCTTGGTGGGTTGTTCTGTCTGTTTATTTATCTGTGTTGTTTTTAAACCACTTGGTAACCTAATTATGAAATAAATAATGTTACTTTTGTTAAGTGCATGGCCCACAGGGGTTAGTAAGTGAATTCAGAACTGTAATCATGAGAATCAGTTATCATGTTCTTACCACAGAAAGTCAAACACGGTTCCTGGTCAGAAAACATGCTGAGACAAACTTCCTCAGATAGGTAAGAAATGTTCTGAATAATATTTTTTACAACATAGTACACATGGGTAAGATTCTCCTTACAAGTATTTGGCAATAATGCATGAATATATTTGCATTAGATCTTCTGTTTGGACACCTGTGTGATCTTGATGGTAATTGATGTCATGCATCCACCAAAAATAACCTTGACACTAAGTGGTTAAAATTCATTGTATAAATAGTAACGAAATGTAAAGTTAGCTGTCATGCTAGTTGCTTTCAGATGCCACTTGGTTTCATATTTTTCACCTAATGCAATTACAATTTTCAGAAAGCCTTAATTGTCCAATATGTTTTGGGGTTACTGTAGCTATAGTCAAATGTTTGATGCATTAATAAGTTAATAAATTAAAATAATAAGTTTGCATAATTATGTCTATTTCTGCTATCCTTTTTCTGCTTCTTTACTGTCCAACTGGATTCAGAAGCGAGGAACTTTTGGAAGAATTCCGTCCCTCCTCTTTGCCATATGTCAGACACAGTGGGTATCATAACTAACTTTCATTCACTTCTTGTATGCTTATCATAACTGTGATATTTTTTATTCATTAAATATCTTAAGAATTCTTGTGACACGTTCTGTTGAACACTTGAGACAACCAAACATTACTTTTGCTGCTGTTGTACTGACATCTGGTGGCAGGGCTTGAAATGACATGGAGTAGACCATATCTGATGAAACATAATTTCCTGTCTGTGTAGGTGGGGTGTCCTGGGAAGGGCCTTCAGAACGTGTAAAAATGAAGAGGAGAGCGAAAAGAAGGGACAAGGAAGAAGAAGATCACGACAGAGGTGTTGCGGATTCCGCATCTCCCTCATAAAGTCACATTCATGGGGAGATGGAAGGAAACACTTCATCCTGACAGCAAAATTCACCTCAGACTTCAGACTGTAAAGTATATTGGCCAGACAAAGCAACTGTGTGATATCGGAAACAATGGACAACCACAGTTATTCAAAGGACTCAGTAATCACCAGATTCGGAACATGTACTGTATGTAGGAATGTAAGTTAAATTGAACTTTGCATTGACAGCAAAAAACATGCATCTTACTGCTCACACCTTTTTAACACATTTTAAATTCTACCTCATGGCTACTACATTTTTAGAGAACAAGCACTGTGTTTTGACAGACCACAATGAATACAAAATAAATAAAATAAAACAAAGCAGACTTGTTTTCTTTTATATCTTAAGATATAGGTTGCTTAACTTTATCTAAATAAGATGGAAGCGTGTAAGTAATTTCAGTTCACACCAGACCAAACCAAATCAAACCAAACAAAGTTTCACATTACATAACAGTAACAGTTTGCAGATTTACAGTTTCGTATTTAGTAAAAGAATTGAAACAAACATCCATTGATATTTATTCTTTGTATTGCCTAGAAAATCTCTAAAAACCTTTGTTTTGGTGCCAGATCTGTCCAATAAAACAATGTTTTCCAATCCTGACTGTAAATGAGAATTATAACAACCGATTGCTCCATACTGCTGTGACTTTCTTATTAATGATCTCTGGATTGTCTCTGCTGCTCTCTGCTGGATTGAGCCAGAACTCAATTTGTGTTAAAATACTGGATCCTTCTGTTTGTTTAGAGGTGGTTGGGATTCACCTGAATGTATTCTTCTTGTTTCCTTCATTCTTTTATAATGAGTTTCACATGATTTGTTATAGTGTGCCAAGGTTAAGTTAAACCTGACTTTCAAGCCATACAACATGTGATCTGTTTTTTGCTTCCCCCATTTTGCCAATAATCTGAGCAAGCTAAATCATAAATATCTTACATAAACAATCTTTCTATTATGTATGAATGTAGTAGGTTTAATATTGGCACTAAAACTGAACGATTGTCAACATTATTTTGGAAGATAATTATACCAGACTACATTACACACATCAACACACTCTGGTTGCTGTAAGAAAAGCCAACAGAAGTGAGAAAGACAAGAAAAATATATTTAAATAAATGTCACCCTTCCTGGTACCTGTAATGTTGTTATACCTGTAATGTTGTTATTATTTACCATGTTGTTGTTTATATGATGCATAAAGATGATGCATATTGGGGAAGCCTAGGCATAGCAGGTGGCTTACAGCAATAAAGGTTCATCCTGGGCATTTACAAACCCAACAAAGTGCTAATATCACTTTAAAAAAATATATATATATTTTAAATTAAATGTGTGTGTGTGTGTGTGTGTGTGTGTGTGTGCTGGTAGCCAATATATGGTTTATGAGGACACAAATGTGTATAATGACATGGGTAATACAACGTAAACATGGTTTATAACGACCTTCCGGTGTCCCCGTAAAACAAAAGGCATAAAAACATACAAAACGGTGTTTTATGAAATTCAAAAATTGCCAGTAGTTTTCTGTAAGGTGTAGGTTTAGGTGTGTAGGGTTGGTGTAGGGCGATAGAAAATACAGTTTGTACAGTAAAAACCAGTACGCCTATGGAGAGTAACGTACCCGTAAACCACAAATGCAAGTGTGTGTGTGTGTGTGTGTGTGTGTATAATACACAATCTGAAAATAGGCCTAGGCTATATTTAGAATCTATATCTTTGCACGCCACTGCTAGTGTCATTTGTCTTTTGTCTTCAGATTCGCTTTCACAACGTCATTCTTTCGTCCCTACTGCTAGACTTCAAGTGAAATCGTGTTTTCATTTGGTATTTGGCGTGAAAAAACGGGGTCGTGTTCGTAAGATTGACCGTTTTTAAACTCAAACTGTGAAGAAAGCCTAAGTATGACAATGCTCGTTTTAATGCGGTTTGAGCACATCGCATAGGCTACTTTCGATTTCCTTGGATTTAGGGGAAACTGAAACCAACATATAGGCTACATCAGCGCAATGGACAATAGGTGAGTGGATTTATTTAACTCTCCAAAAACACGACAACTCTATATATTTATATAAGCCTATGCGATGTTATTTTCCTACTTTGTACGTACAGCCGTCAAGTTGCTAACTGCACATTTTTCTATCAAAATTCAGTAGCGCTTATTTCAACAGCTATAAGTCAACAAATGAACGCGGTTTTGCGCTTAAACGTCTTATAGCCTAACTTGACACTACATCTTAAAATGTCTTAAAACGCAGCTTGAAGCGACGCAAGGGTCGGCGACATGTGTAGCTCATGTTTAGCCTATCTAAAAATATTAAATCGCAGTGCAGTGGAACGGCGAGAAAGCGACGTGTTTGAACCGTGTAAAAATACTTGAGGCACCATTTCGGCTTTCTCAGATTCATTCCTCCTAAATATGACACACACACAGTGATATTTGAGGCATCTTCAAAAGAGTGTCGAGAGATTTCTCCAAAGGAACCCAAAGTGCCTCGAGTATCTTTTTATTTTTACAGAATAGTTCACTGGACCTCCAACTACACAAAAAGGCCAAGAACCCCAAATGTGGGATGATGGAATAATGTTCTTTAAAATGTTACACAGCATAAAGTGTTGACAGAGTGTTCTGTTTTCTGTAGATTTTTACCAGCAAAAATACAAGAGGATTATTTCAACAAAATCAAGAATGTGTTTGCCTCTGAAAGCCCTGAGGAAATTCCCCACCAGCTTATGTCTCTTTTGGAAGTCTTTGACCGTTTTAAGATAGATATCGCTGTGACTGGAGAGTCTGGTGCAGGAAAGTCTTCTCTTATCAATGCGTTCCTTGGATTGAATCCTGATGATGCAGGGGCTGCTCCAACTGGAGCTGTGGAAACCACAAAGCAAGCAACCATGTATCAGCATCCAAATCTTCCACAGGTCAGACTGTGGGATCTTCCAGGGATGGGCACCCCTTCCTTTGGATCCAAGAGTTATGTAAAGACAATGAACTTTGATCTATATGACATGTTCATGGTTGTGATATCAGAGAGAGTCAGAGAAAACAACATGCTGTTGGTTGATGAAATTGAGCAACAAAAGAAGCCATATTATTTAATTAGAACAAAAATTGATAATGACATGCGGTCCCAGAAAAAGAAAAAACAATTCTCTGAAATACATGAATTGGATCAAATGAGACAGGACTGTAAGAAATATCTGAAGGAGAAGAAACTGGACCCACATGTGTTCCTAGTGTCAGCCATTGACACACAAAATTACGAGTTGCAGAAGCTCACAGACACTTTTAAAGATGAGGTTTCTCAACTTAGAGCAGAGCTATTTTCAAGTTTTCTGGACAAGATGTTACATGGAGGATGGATAAAAGCAAGGTAAGTATGTACTGAAAGTAAATGCTTGTTCAAAACTGTAGGAAATGTTTAATACTTTGAAATGTATACTTTTGTACCATTTTCTAGAAAACATTACATTTAATGATTTTGAACATGTCATGTTTAGTAAAGTAAACATATTTTCACCTTGAATACAGGTACACATTATAACCGTTATTCTTCAAAGTTTTTGTAAATGTAAAGTTTTTAAAGTCATGAATTATGATTTTTTTTTTTACTTTTTGGACTTTATATCCCAAACAGTTCATTTTAACTCAGAAATTAAGAACATGGTCATCATAGATGAGGTCTATTTAAGTCTTTGCATTGATGACTGATATATTGAATGTTTTCCTGAAGAAAAACTGTAATAATAGAGAGGGCAAACAATGAATGTAACATCATTCACCCTAACATTCATGTAATTTATATTTATTTATTACTTTAGGTATGCTACAAATCACATCCAACAGACTAGGAAACTTCAAGCTGAGGACATCACAACATTGCACAATATGTATGAGCGCACAGGTTTTGGAGCTGCAAAAGTCAGTGTTGTACTGCAGGCTTTGAGTCACTTTCAGCTAGATGTTGCAGTTTTGGGTGAGACGGGCTCTGGAGTGTCCACTTTTGTAAATGCCTTAATTGGGCTGGAGAATGAAGAGTGTGGTGCAGCATCAGTGTCCATCAGCAACCCAGCAATGAGTCTGGGATACCCAGATGTCCGGTTCTGGGACATATCCGGCATAGAGGGAGTCATGGATTACTCTATGTATGAAATGAAACAAGTCATGAATTGGTATGACTTCTGTATCATCATTGTATCAGACTGGCAGAAAGCACGCCATTTAAAACTAGCCAAAGCAGTTGAAGAATTAAGGAAGCATTACCTCTTAGTCCAGACCAAAGTAGACTGTCATCTACAGACTCAAAGTGAGTTGTGCTGTGATGAGACTGACATACTTGATGGGCTTCGGGCACAATTTACCCAGGAGATTCAGATGGCAAAACTGTCTGAGAAGCAGATTTTTCTCATCAACAACCTAGACAGGTGTGCATTTGACTTTGTAGGTTTGGAAGGTGCACTCTCCAGTGACCTCAAGACTGTCAGGACAAGTGCTTTTGCATATTATATAGCAAACACAGTAAAGGAACATAAATAATACTTTTAAAAAAACATAGAAGTGTAAGATATGATGCAGCAGTAAACTGCTTTAAAATTAAATATTTAAGCATACTAATATAACTGCTGCTTAAAAAGGGTGTGCAATAATATATAAATTTAATTAGCAAATAATGTTTGATTGTTTAATATACTGTATAATTCTGTCTTTTTCTGTCTGTGACAGATCAGATGTCTTTGAAACATATGAAGAAAATGCTAGAGAGGCACCACATTTTGATTGTCCTAATTATTGCAAAAGAATAGAAGATATTCAGTTGGGGAAACAGAAAATTATTTGTAGAAGTTGGTCTGCAGTAAAAATATCTGAACTGTTGATCTCAATATACTATTTTAATGAATGTTTGTAGTAATTGTAATTGCTCATTCTCAGATCATTTCACTGTTAAGACTATTTCTTTTTTAATAAAATGTTTATGAAAAATACACCATGCTTCGTCTCTTGTTATGCAAACCATTAAAAAAACAGTTTGTAATGGACTGTAGGTAAGTTGCACTAACATAATATTTAGTGTTTTTAATTATTATTTGTATTTTAGGGGACCTAAATAAATTATAGAAATAATTTTAGTGAAACTATATTAATTAAGTTTTTAGTAGTTTGTCCCATGTGCACTTTCCAGGTCAACAGGTCATCATGTATGTTGTTATGGGTAGCAACACAAACAAATACTTTGTGACTCTATGCCAGGTTTCAGTGATAAAAACTGGACTAATCTATTACTGTGACACACAACTCAACAGCTTAGTCACACCTTACAAAATGTCCAAAACCTTCTTAAAGTTCAAATGCGTCATAAAACTGATAATAGGTCCAAAATTAAACCTGTAAAGAAAAGGTTGGGCTTTTTTCTTTCAAATTAAGACCTCGTGTATTCACACACCCATCTGCTTTCTAAGACTAAACCAATACCTCTAACAACTCAACGGTTTGATATCCTAAATTAGTTTAAGCATCATTAGGTAGCACCATGAAAAAAAAATGCTAATGGAAATCATAATAAATATTTGTTAACAGAAATAAAAGAAAAAAAGAAAAGAAAACATTTTAATTTTTATTAACATATACACACATATATTTTCAATAATAAATGCAAATCCCGAGCCTGGATGTAGTAATACACGTACAACTAGTAAATCCTGAAACTATAAACACCTGCTACTATGTCATTCAAAATTTCATTAACAATATGCAAAAAGCAAATTCACAACATACAAAACAAACTACAGAATATACAGAAAAGGTATATTAGCAGAAGGTAGCATAAAGAGATTCTGACCCTTTGGCCTAAAGACCTTGTATACATTGTAAAACAAGTTAAATATCACAATGAGGTTATCAGTCCTAATTGTATAATAAAACGAGTAGGCAGAAATTTTTGCACAAACCAACAGATTCCCACATATCCTTAAACAGTACAAAGTCACACATTTTACCCAATTTGTTGCCTAAATGATTATTATTCTACGTATTCCATTCCATTTAACATGCACTATTATAAAATATGAAGAACATAACAGGACAATATTATTCAGTATAACATTTCTTTCCAACCATTTAACTCTCCAGTGCAGACGTATGGCCAATAAACTCAGTTTTGATGTTCTGATGTAATTTTGGTTAACATTTTGGTAAACATCTCTTTGATTTTATTCATTCAAACCTGCAGCTTGAAGAACCTGTTTCATGTCATTTATCATGTCATTTAGTGCTCCACGCAAGACAGTGAATGTGAATTTGAAGGCCTCAGACGCAGTGATGAAACTGGTTGCAAGAAATTTAGCATCAAGCAGATCCTCTAAGCTTTTCACTGGTTTTGCCACAGATGTACGAGGCCTAATTGTCAGTTTGTCTACCACTGCTAATGCTAAAGGAGACTTTATAGCTGCTTTCAGCTGTGAGAGAGGCTTGTTCATTCTCTCCGACAGTTTGATGAGTGATTTCTCATTCAAACCCAGAACGTAATGGCAATGTACAAGATAGGTTGTCAATACCATCTTGTCAATGACCACAGGTAATAAAGGAACAGGGATAACGGCAACCAGACCTGAGGCTAGCGCTGCAAGCCAAATAAACTTCTCCATAACCTCTTTTTTCTTCTCTAGCATAGCCAGAGAGCTCACAGGCACAGACTGGACCAGAGCAAATCTCTTGTTTTCTGGAAGGTCTAACTCTAGGGTATCTACAAGGTCTTGGAAGTCATATTTTCCCAAGTCATAAGAGGAAATCAGGAACACCCTGGGGTTTCCTAGCTCCTTCACATTTCTTTGGCAGTCCTCTCTAATTGTGCAAAGTACCTTCTGCTCATCAAAATTTCTTTTCTTCGCCACTGACCGAATGTCATTGTCAATCTTGGTCCGGACAAAATAAAACCTCTTCTGCTTTTTTTCAATCTCCTTGGCCAGAAAGACATCATTTTCCTTGAATCTCTCAGAGGAAATGATGATAAATAAATCATAAGTTTCCAATTTCACTTCCTTGAGGAATTTGTTAGCCTTGAAATCAGGCATGCCAGTGCCTGGCAGGTCCCACAGTCTGACATTTGACTTTGAGGGATGGGTGTACATGGTAACTTGCTTTGTTGTTTCAGTTATTCCAGTTGGTGCAGAATTGTCGTCATCATCATTCAGACCTCGAAATGCATTGATGAAGGCAGACTTTCCTGCTCCTGTTTCCCCAGTCACTGCAATATTCAGAGTCACACTATCAAGACTGTCCAGTTTTTCTTTAGCCTTTGCAACAGCTACATTTGGGTCACATTCCCCCAGTCTCTCCAAAGCTCCAGAGAAATGCAAGTCAGCAGAAGAATCTTCTGTCATTATGCCTTGTTAAATTCTTCACTGTAAAAAAATTATACATATAAACATAATATAATAGGTATAAATCATTGCATGGCATTAAGTAACTTTACTACAGTATAATCATGACTTTTTCCTTTGCTTAGTCACAGACTGCTGCGACTTTATTTGACATAATTATGAGTTCACATCTCCCATTTATGAGTTTATTATATCTCACAGTTGTACGTTTTCATTGTAAATGCAACTTTATTTCTCGCAATATGACTTTATATCTCACAATTGAGACTATTTATGTATAACGCAATGTGCTTTATTCCTTATTTTAAACTTCATCTTTATAATCTTGAGGTAAATAACCTTCAGGAAAATGTTAAAAAATTATTAGAAATATTGAAAGATCGGGTGGTGGTTGAACTACATATACAAACATTTATCACTAAAAGGTTTATAAACAGATTTTTATTTTTCATTGTATGAAATGTGATTATGCTATAACAAATACATTATTATGTGAGACTGAGAACATTTCAGATTTGAGCAGAGAAAATGAACACTGTGAATGATTTTAAATGATTATACGTGCCTATATAATATAACACTCAGCATGACATTCAATGAAAGTACAGTGTCAATGACTTCTGAAATCATCCACAAGCACATTGTAATCTATTCTTTGAACACTATATAAAGACATGGTGGTACTTATATTAATCAACACACAATGGCCATTAACCCCATAACAGAATCAGAAAATGCATACATGCTATATAGCAGGGGTGGACAGATGTTGGGCCTGGAGAGTCCTGCAGAGTTTTGCTTCAACCCTTATCAAACACACCTGAACAAGCTCATCAAGGTCTAAGGGTTGCTAGAAAGCTACATGCGAGTGAGTTTTTATCAAGTTTGGAGGAAAACTCTGCAGGATTTTGGCTCTCCAGGACCGACGTTGACCACCCCTGCTATATAGGATGCATGCATATAGAACTTAAATCGACCAACAAAACCAATCTAATACCACATATATTCTTAAAGAAACACATGTTCAGGACATCTACGAGTTACTGCATAGTATGTCCAGCTCAGCCTCTTTTCTGATATTTCGAGCAATATCTGCAAGTTCATTTAACCCTTCTCTCAAGAGGTAATAAGTAGTACCAAAGGATATTCCTGCAGCAGCAGCACTGCCTACACCTGGAAAGAGACTTGCAACATATTCAAGGGTAGTAAGTGTTGCAAGTGTAACAGAGACTTGTAATCTGGCCATTGATTTTTCTCGAATGGCAGATGCAAACTTTGATTTGGCCAGATGTTCCAGCAAGGGCTTGTTGACTTTTTCTGAAAGCTTTTTCAGTGAGCCATCATCCAAACCAAATGCATAGTAGCACCTTGTGAAGAAAAGCAACACCATGCTTGTATCACATGCTGCTGATAGACCAAGCACAGGGACTATTGCTACACCAGCAGAGGCAAGAGATACAGCCCAGATCATGCCTTTAAACATCTTGATCTTCTTCTCGAGAGATTCAGTAGAGCACACTGGCCAGGCTTGTTGAAGAGCAGATCTCTTATGGTCCGGAACCTCTTCTTCGAGAGTGTTTTGAAATATTTCAAAATCATATTTCTCCAATTCAAAAGACGATATCAAGAAAACTTTGGGGTCTCCCATCTCTTTCAAGTTTTTCTGACAATCCTTTCTTATTTTGCAAAGAATGTTCTGCTCATCAAATCCCTTTTTTCTTTGCTCTGCTAAAATGTCATTGTCAATCTTGGAACGAACAAAGTAAAAATTTTTATTCTGTTTTTTTATTTCTTTAGCCAACATGACATCATTCTCCATGAACCTCTCTGAGTTTAAAATAATGAAGAAATCGTAGGTGTGAAACTTGACATCTTTCAGGTATTTATTTGCTTTGAAGTTTGGACTTCCTATTCCAGGCAGGTCCCAGATTTTCACATTTGGCACTGCAGGATGCTCATACATGGTGGGCTCCATTGTAGTTTCTGTGACTCCAGAAGGTGCTGCTCCATCATCTTCATCATTTAGACCTCTAAGTGCATTTATAAAGGAGGATTTCCCAGATCCTGTCTTTCCGGTCACAGCAATGTTAAGTGAGACATTCATTAATTGGTCAAATGTTTCTTTAGCTTTTGCTGTGGCCTTTTCCAGGGTGGACTCGCCTGATGCCTTTACTGCCTCAACAACAGCAGGGTCTTGACTTTCCATGTTTTAAACTGTAAAAGTTATAGATGTATATAGAAGTATGTACACTTCAACATTAATTTATTCTTGAAGCCTGATAGCTAATCATTTTTCTGTTACTACAATAATCATCATATTCTTCAGTAGTGTGAATGATGGTGTCTGCTGTCCCTAAGGTGTCAGGAACTGCAATAGTTCTGGTTGATAGTGTTTTTTAAAGTGTATCAAATAACATTTTAGTAATAAATCTATTTTTTTTACATAATAAAAATAATGGAACAGATATAGCATATTATAGTTAGTTACTGACCTTTTGTGTGGAGAGCTTTTAACGTTGTATTGCCCCGTGTTGTATTTCTCTGTCAGGGTAAAAATTAACCAATATTCATAAAACAAACATATGTAAACAGATAACATGCATAATGAAATATATAAAACTGTATATATAAAATGTTGATTAATAAATGCATATATTTAGTTTTATTAACAAAATAACAAAATAATAATACTGAAATGTATTAAAATATGGTTAAAATATATATGGGTTAAGTTGGCTACAGTTTGACAATACAGCTACACTACATGAAAAAGATGACGAATCATACAATAATAATCATAAACGCTTAAATATGACTAATATAACAAATATATAACTGTATTTTTTTACGCAAATCCACGATGCGGAAATCAAAACTATTGTGAACAGAGCAAATACTCCAATAATCTTTATTAGCCAACAACTTCGAAAAATATTTTTACAGTGTTTTATTTTCATACAATAGCCTACAATCATACCTACAATATTCGGTTTATGTTTATTTTTGTTATTGCATTTAATAAAGCAATTAATGTAATTTTAAATATACTTAGTGACATATTAATGAGGAACATATAAAGCAATTAAATAACTGACAACAAATAATTAGGCTATAGCCTACTTACTTTGATTTCTGGGTTGAAACACAATGACTCTTCACTTATAGAGACGCTTAAGAAAACGCTGCAGAAATTCTACAGATAGAAAATGAATATAAATGAAAATTAAATCGGCTGCTAAACACCGAGCTGTTACGTCACAATGTCCACTGCTTCACTGACTCTGTTCCTATGTTGGGAAAACGAAACTTACGACAGATGAGTGACAGTCCAAACAGCCAATCAAAGCACCGAGACGTATTTTCAAAATTGGCTTATTCGGCATTACTGGGAACGCCCACAAAACGTCATAACCGTTTATGCCGAGGGGGAAAACAAACCATTCGTATTAACGCGCGGAGACCGTGTTAGGCGCTTGGTCTTTAGTTTTTGTGATGATTTCGATTGATTTTTGTTTGGTGCAGTGCCGAAAAGTTGCTGTGTGGCGTTCTGTACCTCTAATAAGTTAAAAAAGCTGATCTGACGATGTATATGACTGATACACTGCAATGATCTGTCGTTAGTCCCGTCCCCCTGCACCGCACCCAGTTCTGATGGGGCTTACAGTAACCCTCCTTCGCATCGCAATCAAATAAATCTCACTCCCTGATATTTTGTGCTGTCATAATCTATTAAAACATTTATTTCATATTATTATACACAATCCCTTACGAAAATTAGCAATGGTATTACTATAGTAAAAGTATAGAAGGCTAACCATGTTTTTGGTTGGCGTTTTTATTACCAATTGCAGCCTATAACCACAGTTTTACTACAAATACCATGGTTAAACTATGGTTAGTGTAGCAAAACATGTTGTTTTTTACCATGGTTTAACTATAGTAACCAATGTTTTTTGGTATTTTATACACATATTTTCATGTTATCTTTATTTTAAGGCATGTAGTATTTGTGAAAATGATTAGGCAGCCGCAGCACACACCACATAGAATAATGCTGCGCATTTCAAGACACTTCAGTGGACCTTAACGTTACCTGTTTTGTCAATGTTAAAAAACTTTTTAATATATCAATAAGAAAGTATGACAGGCTTTTACTCAAGTCTTTATCACTTTATTCAAATTAAGCAAAACAAAACAACAAATGTTTACTTTCACAAGCCGTCTCGTATAGGCTTGTAGTGTAGTAGCCTAAGCGGTCTCTTGCTCAATTAAGTAACGTAACAAAAAATGTCGGGAAACGACGCCTCTGGCCATTCCGTTGGGTCGTTTGTCCAGTCACAGGTACCGTACGGACAGTCCGAGCCAATACGGTTCAGTTTTTATGCTTATGTTATAAATAATGTATGGCAGAAATAATTTTAAGTAGGCCATTCTGAGTCAACACCATGCTTTTCCAATGAGGGGGAAAAGGACTGTTTTCCCCCACGCCGACTCCGCCCACACAGCTATGACGCGACACCGATCAAGTCTATTAGCAACATTACTTGGCTTATTAAATGCATTAGCAAAAATAAGAATCAGAATTGTGTTTCATCTCTTTTTCATAGTGTATAAGCTACACTGTAATGATTTTTCTAAGTTGTAAATAAAACAAAGTTAGTTTAGCTCTATTCACAAAAAAACAATCTGGCACACTGGTTATATTTTTTTGTTGCCTTGAAATGAAAAACCCTGCTAATGTTGCTAATGATTTCATAGCTCCAAAACCCAATAAAAACGACATACAGCATTTAATTTTTATTATGTATGAGACATTATAGGCTAGCTTCATCATCAAAAATCATTATACCCCTTACCAAAAAGTAGTATACTTCAAGTTTATTTTATTAAGTATACTTAAGTAAGAACATATTTTGACTTTTTCTAAGTATAAGTCAAGTATACTTAAATGTCATTTGAAGTATATTTCTGAGAAGTACATAAAGCCCATTTCTGAGAAGTACATAAAAAGTAGACTAAAAGTATACTTTCCTATTTTTTAGTTAAAAAGAAGTATACTATAGCACACTTGAATAAACGTATTTTTCGTAAGGGACGTCATAAAAACTATGAACAATTTAACTGTCAGCTAATTGCGACCAGATTCCTGTAAATAGTATACATACACTTGAACATCTTAAAACTATCAAGCATGCTAGTTTTTATACACACTCAGCACAAAATCTAACAAATAACATCCTATGAACATTGAGTCCGTGCCACAGACATAAAATGTATATTATGTTCTATAGGGGAAAAAAATCAATGAACAAAAGTAATGTATATTTTTAAGATAATAAAGAAACATGTTCAGAACTGTTAGCTAAATGCATGCAGCTCAGCTTCTTGAATGGCAGCAAATATAGGCCTAGGCTACTTTGAGCATGTTATGAGTGATTGTGGCTACACACAATATGTCAAAATGACTTAACCACAATGATCAGTGGGATGACCTTTTGACTGTGATCTCAATCTGTGATATTAGTAGACATCAATCAGACCTGCCACTTTCAGCACTTCTTTGGCTGTATCAGCAAGATCCTGAACTCCTGCTCGCAGAAGGTTCAGTGTTGTAGAGTAAGACATTTCTGCTGTTTTTTTACTCCCTACAACAGGAACCATGCTCCACGCAAATTTAACAGCTGCATCCTTACTTGTCAGCGCCGATAGCTCCTTATTACTGAGTTTCTTTTGCCCAATAGCGACCACTAGAGGTGACTTTCTTACAGCTTTGAGGGATGGATTGTTGACCCTCAACGACAGTTTATCTATTGAGTCATCATCCAGGCCGAATGCATAGTAGCACTTGGTGAAGTAAGCCAGCAAAATGGCAGCATCACAAGCCATGGAAAGACCAGGCACTGGAGCCACAGCAATAGAACCAGAAGCGACAGCTGCCGACCAGGTTTGCTCCATAAACAGTTTGATTTTCTCCTCCAGAATCTTGGATGAGTATACTGGCAAAGACAAAATCAAAGCATCTCTCTTGTGAGCAGGTAGCTGCTTCTCCAGTGTGTCGAGGAGGGTTTGAAAATCATACTTGTGCAATTCAAATGAGGAAATCAGGAAAATTTCTGGGTTATCCATATCCTTCAGGTTTCTTTGGCAGTCCTCACGAATTTGTGAGAGAACTTTCTGCTCATCAAAGTCTTTCCTTTGGGATTCTGCTTGAATGTCATTGTCAATCTTTGAGCGGAGAAAGTAGAATAACTTCTTCTTCTCTTTAATTGCTTTAGCCAGCATGATGTCATTTTCTTTGAATCTCTCTGAGGAGATGATGATGAAGAAGTCAAAGGTGTCAAGTTTCACCTCCTTTAGATATTTTTTGGCTTTAAATTTGGGACTTCCAGTCCCTGGGAGATCCCATAATTTCACATTGGGCATTGTAGGATATGTGTACATTGTTGATGTCATTGTCGTCTCAGTCGCTCCTGTGGGAGCTGCATTGACATCATCAGGTTGAAGACCTCGTATTGCATTGATAAAGCTGGATTTTCCTGCTCCAGTTGATCCTGTAACAGCAATATGAAGTGTGACGTTGTCCAGTTTCTTGAGTTGTTCTTTCACACTTTCTGTTACATAAACGTATTCCGCAGAACTAGTGAGCATAGCATCAGGTACTTCATATACATGCTCGTCTTCTTGCTTTTTAGCCGCTGTGTCTATACGTTCCCTCTTCTCTGAGCTTTCTGATTTTAAATGTGTGTTCTCATTTGCTTTACACTGAAACACATTATCTGTGTCATCTTGTGACTTCTTGGCATTTGGACACACTGCTCCACTGAGCAATTCTTGGTTCTGTATCTGTTATGGGGCTGACGAGACGTGAGATTTGCGGATCCATTCGCAGAGCTTTATTAGACAAAGGCAGAGACGTGGTCATACAGCAGGCATGGGTCAGATGAGAGCAAACAGGTATATGGTGGGCAAAACACAAGAATAGTCCTAGGGCTAGCACAGGTCGACGATCGGCAGACAGAATCAAAAGGGGCAAGACAAAAGGGGTGAATCCAGGGAACCAGGCGAAGATCAGAAACCGGGAAGGCTAAGGCTAAGGCTAAGGCAAATGACTAAGGCTAAGGCTAAGGCTAATGACTAAGGCTAAGGCTAATGACTAAGGCTAAGGCTAAGGCTAAAGGATAAGGCTAAGGCTAAGGCAAATGACTAGGGCTAAGGCAATGACAAGGGCTCCGTAAGGTAGCTATCTCTAGGAGAGTGATAAATGCTGAAACAATACTCGGCAGAGGGAAGGGATCAGAGTGAGTGTTAAATAGTGAGGGAGTGATATGAAACAGCTGGGTGCAATCAGTGTAAACAGGTGTGTGCAATTCGGGCTGGGTGCAATCAGTGCAATGCATGATGGGAAATGTAGTCCGGAGTGCTATGCAACAGTTTGTGTAGTGCGAGAGTCAATGAATAGGAAAGTTCGTTGACCGGATTCGTGACAGTATCCCTATAACCTCCACATTTGCCTCTTTAGTGTTGACTTTGTTTAATGGTTCACTAAAATTAGTCTTACTGAGTTTTTCTGTCAAAATATCTTTTTCCATTATAGCATCACATGGCTCTTGAAAATGGTCTGTTTCGACACTGTCAGGTTGTTTTGTTTTGTGATTGTCTGTATCTTTTCCACACTCAATCATTTCCCTTGCTTCCTCGTTTGTCATCGGAACTGAACATTTTAGTTCTTTTTGTTCCTCTTTATCAACAGCCTTCACGTGTTGTTGTTCTGTGGTCACTTCACATGGTTCCTTAGCCTCAGTTTGCTCTTTTTGCTCGAGACATTTTTCCATTTGTATCATGTCAAAATGACACACCTCAGCTTTTTCTGACTGTTCTACAGTTCTTTCATTTGTTATATATATCACTTCTTTCTCTGCTTGATTTTCTTTATCACTCTGGTTTGTTTCTCTCACATGTTGTTGTTGTGAATTAACTTCACATGGTTCCTCAGCCTCAGTTTGCTCATTTTGCACCTCAAGACATTTTTCCATCTGTATCATGTTAAAATGACACACTTCAGCTTTTTCTGACTGATCTACAGTTGTTTCATTTTTCATTTCTTTATCACTCTGTTTTTCTCTCTCTCTCAGCCTCTCTCTTTCCTTCACATCATTACGTTTTGATTCAACAATGTCCAGTAATGAACTACTTTGTTTGGGTTTCTCTGATTGTTTCTCCATAGTTTTAATGATTTTTGATTGGACGATTCCTAGGGACTCCAACAATTCTGTATTTCTCTGTTGCTCTTTCAACACAATTTCATTGTGAAAGGATTCAGTGAGGTTATCGGCTACTTCTATCTGATCAGGATTTGTGTAGATTTTGAGGAAAGGGTCCATAAAGATGTTGACTTCTGACATGATGACTCTGAAAAAGTAAAGCAACTGGGCAAATGTCAAGAAACATTCAGGGGTTTTCTGCCATAAATGCAGAGTTTCTAGTACATTTTTGCAATGCTTTGCAGTAATAGTGCTATTCGGTTTTAATAATTCATTAGAATAATGCAGCTGTTTACACTAGAGGTAGCTGTCTTCACATGGCCATGTGTAATTTACATTTTTAAGTGTAGGCCTAGTTCACAAACCATTCAATACAAAATATGTAATTTAAATATAATTTGTAAACTTAAACTGTTCTGACGCTATTATCATATAAATCTACACTTTCTCTTTTTCCTTTAAAGTAAGTCTGTTTCATACATTGAGACTTCTCTCACGGTGCTTTTAAGTTACATTTAAATGTGAGCCGAGTAGCCTATTCTTAATGTTGCGCTGACATCTAGCGGCGTGTATACAGTGTCTTGCAAAAGCAGTTGCAGAAACCATTGTAGAAATTCTGTCAGCCATTATTTATTTATTTTGCGAGCGAAAGTAAGTTGGAAGGGTGTTGCCGAGATAAAGCGAGAATAAAACTATTACTTATAATGATAAGACTGGACCCTCATGTGCATCTACATAATTTTACTCTCTTTTTTTCACGAGAGAAATATTTATATTCTCAGAAACAAACAAACCTATATTTTGTACAATATAACAGCATTAGTAAACATCAATTATTAGACATTTTCCTACACCAATAACAGCATATGTAACGCTCCAGGATTGCGATGTGATCGAAACAAACATAAAGCAGTTAACTCAATTTTTGCATTTTTAATAAGACAAACTCACCTTATCTGTGCACAGGTGGTTATAATATTGGTATCTGTATATGTCTTCAAAGGATGTGGTAGCTGTTTATGAAAAAGTGTGATTTAGGGTGTGGTTTAGAGAACATCTGAGAACTGAGGCTAAAAATCTAGTCAGAGCTACTCTATATAAGAAACCTAATATTTCCTCAATTAAATATGAATTAAGCGACATGCTGTGGTTTAACCAAGAAAATATCAATCTGTCAATTTCTAAAACAAAAAGAAAAAACAAAAGTGTTCATCAATGCACTTGCAGCAGGTCAATTTCTTGTATGTGTGTGAGTGTGTGCATTTTAAAATATATCTGACCATATTTAAATATTTCCTGTCCATACTATCTTATCTACATCTTTTTTGTCTTAATTTTGAAAAATAATAACTACATTTTGTCTGTATGCTGTTTCCAAATAAAACACACAGTAATTCCAAACATGCACATTGCCACATGAATGCTGTTTAGCAGGAAGTGCTTTACTGGAAGCAGATCATAGTTTTGATTCTTTTTGTAAGCTGCATGTCATATGGCAAGACACATGCATAAATGAACATGTTGCTTAACATAACTTAAAATATCAAGTGAAAGGTTTTACATTAAACCACCACAATTTTTGCATTCTGGCAGAGCATATTAATCAAAGATGCTTTGTCAGACATGCATGCTTTCATGTGAATACTGTTGATAAATCATCAACAGTGTTTCAAAGGCAGCAGTTTCAAGTATGAATCATTTAAAATGCCTACAGACTTAAAGGACTTTCTACTCCCATTTGGTCTTTAATGTCTACAATCATTTTATTATTATTAGTTCCTGGTTCATGTAAGTCTGATTTGCAACTTTTAGCACCTTCCAATCTGAGCCCTGTTTGAAGAAGATTCAGTGTTGTAGAACAATATATTTCTATTGTTCTTTTACTGGCAATGGTATGATCTCATGCAAAACATCTCTGCTTGTCAGTGTTCAATTTTTTCCCTCTTTGAGGCTTGCGTTTTTAAGCCATGGACAATCTTTAAGCAAAGTAAATAGCTTTTTCCTAAACAAGCACATTGTCATTTTTGTTTGAACTTTGCTGAGGTCCTAATATACAATTTATTTACAAATTTATATTTTGTTTATAAACAAAATGTTATGGTTAGGTCTGCGTATCATGCATTATTCATATTTTCTAGGTTATTTTTAATTTCACAGTGCTGTTAGATTTCTACCATAATATAAAATATAATATAAAAATACCCATACCCTAATATAAAAAATGTCATAATGCCATTTGTATCTCTCTATCTGTAAGAGAAATATGCAGTATCTTTGAATACAATTCAAAAATATATGTAAAATATTTATGCTCAGTATTGCTGTTCAGGTTTTTATTTTATCTCTTGAAATTGGTGATGGACAGATATGTGTAAAAAAAAAAAGACTGATAGGAATGAATGAATGATGTTACTACTCGTTACTATATGGGCGTATGTAGCAGTCTTGCATATCAAGTCAGCAGGCATATGTATGATGGCTCTTTCATTCCTGACTTTTTCCCATACAGGTGAAGTTTAGATATTTTTTAGGGGGATGTAGCCTTTATTCTGCTAGTTAGAAACCTAAAATCATAACCACATAAACATGGAAATGTATGTTTTTTGTTTAGATAATGAATAAATCTGTAAACACATAGTTCTATGATACAGCACCTACTGTAAAATGCTCAGTAGTCCTGACTAAGCAGGTTCAATCTAATATGTTTCAGTGCAATGTGTAATGTCCACTGCCATGTGAACTGCTTAGCCAACATGACTATTATAAAGAAAAGAGGGGTTTTCGGTTGTATTTGTAAGTGCATGACTTAAATATATCAAGAAAATGTAAAATAAATGGTAGCTAAGCTATGGTGTGAATGTAAAGAATACTTGTTTCTTCCAAAAAATAAAATCTTGTTATTCTTGTTACCCACAACACTTCTGTTTTTAAATGTGCAATTTAGACATGATACATTTCATTAAATTAAATTATCTATGAATAAATTATATTTGTAGGTTTTAATTATAGTTTTAATTTGTTGTTATATTGTGATGACATATGATGTATGTATGTATGCATGTAATGAAATGAGAATAACAAATACTTATCAGTGTATAGCAGTAATAATTTTTACATGGCTTGTTGACTTTGAATTGACCAGAACATTGTTTTTTTTTATATCAAGTTATATATATGATAAAGTTGCAAACCAATGAGCAATGTCTTCTAATTAACTAAGTCACACAGTGTAAAAAATAAAATAAAATAATAATATATGATGTATGTATGTATGCATGTAATGAAATGAGAATAACAAATACTTATAAGTGTATAGCAGTAATAATTTTTACATGGCTTGTTGACTTTGAATTGACCAGAACATTGTTTTTTTTTTATATCAAGTTATATATATGATAAAGTTGCAAACCAATGAGCAATGTCTTCTAATTAACTAAGTCACACAGTGTAAAAAATAAAATAAAATAATAAATAAAATAAGACAATCCTTTAAACAAGTATTTTATTACTTGCACAAATTACAAGTCCAGCATACATGCAGTATATAGTTATATAAAGACAAAATGAAAGAAACTGTCAACATTAGAAAGTGTAGTTTGCATTGGTATAACAAAGTATGTTTGCACATTCATGATCACATTTCAGTTTATTATTTTATTGTATCCTAATAAAATCATAATTACAAAAAATATTATTATTATTATTATTATTATGATTACTTGATCAAGTTATTTTCAAAGGACATATTTATTATATGATTTGTAAGCCTGATCTGAGGCTAATTTATCTGCATATTAGGCAAGCTGTGACACAGCAAGAACATTTTTGGTGTCTTCTGCCATCTCATTCAGTCCCATATTAAGCAGGTAGTGCACTGAAGCAATAGCCGTTCCTCCTGCTGGTAGAGCTCCTCCTGGCAGCAGAGCCAGTATGGTCCCCAGTGTCTTGGCTATAGCAATCATTGGTTTAGACAGCATATCTATCACAATATCCTCAGTGGATCCATCTTTGAAGCGTGACGTCTTAGCGGCTTTTAGTTGCTCCAACGGTTTGTTCACTCGTTCTGATAGGGCCTTTAGGGCCTGATTTGATAAGCCAAAGCCCACAAAGACTTGCTGAAAAAACGTCTTTATGATGCCATACATTATTATTATTATTATGATTACTTGATCAAGTTATTTTCAAAGGACATATTTATTATATGATTTGTAAGCCTGATCTGAGGCTAATTTATCTGCATATTAGGCAAGCTGTGACACAGCAAGAACATTTTTGGTGTCTTCTGCCATCTCATTCAGTCCCATATTAAGCAGTTAGTGCACTGAAGCAATAGCCGTTCCTCCTGCTGGTAGAGCTCCTCCTGGCAGCAGAGCCAGTATGGTCCCCAGTGTCTTGGCTATAGCAATCATTGGTTTAGACAGCATATCTATCACAATATCCTCAGTGGATCCATCTTTGAAGCGTGACGTCTTAGCGGCTTTTAGTTGCTCCAACGGTTTGTTCACTCGTTCTGATAGGGCCTTTAGGGCCTGATTTGATAAGCCAAAGCCCACAAAGACTTGCTGAAAAAACGTCTTTATGATGCCATAATCACAGACCAGTGACAATCCCGGGATGGGAGCTATCGCCCCGACCCCTGCCGCGAAGGCGTTTAGCCAAATAAGTTTCTTGTAGTATGTTTTCTTCTTTATGAGGGCCTCAAGAGAATAAACGGGCAAAGACTGAATGAGAGCAAATTTCTTGTTCTCAGGAAGTTCATCTTCGAGGGTGCTGATCAGCTTCTGAAAGTCATATTTTTCCAAGTTAAATGAAGACACTAGGAATATTTTGGGTATTCCGACTTTCAGTAGGTTCGCCTTACAGTCCTCTCGGATGTTTTCGAGCAACATCCGCTCATCAAAGTTTCTTTTGTGTGATTCAGCGCGAATGTCGTTGTCAATTTTAGTGCGAATGAAATAAAATAGCTTCTTGCTCTTCTTGATCGCTCTAGCCAGCTCTATGTCGTTTTCCTTAAATCTTTCAGAGGTCACTATGAGAAAGAAGTCGTACGTGTGGAAATTGACTTCTTTCAGGTACTTCTTTGCTCGAAATTTTGGACTACCAATTCCAGGCAGGTCCCAGATCTTCACATTTGGCATGGAGGGATGAGGGTACATGCTGGGCTTCATGGTAGTCTCAGTTGTTCCTGTGGGAGCTGCGTTCTTATCATCATTAGGAAGGCCTCTGATGGCATTGACGAAGGAAGACTTCCCTGCCCCTGTCATCCCGGTTATAGCAATGTTAAGTGTAACATTCTCTAACTCCTTCAGTTTACTTTTTAGTTTGTTTGTTTTTTCTGCAGGTGGAGAGTCAATTATTTCTTGTAATGCTGAGCCAAGAGAGTCTGAATCTTCTGTGTCCGCTGTGGCATCAGACAATATGTCTACAAACTCTCTGGAAACCACATAATAATTACTGGGTTTGTCCTCTTCCTCTGGCTTTTTTATGTCTTTTTCTTTAGGTTCGTCAGGACATTTCGTCTGTACATTTTTCTCAGCTATATCCAGTTTTTGCAGCATAGTTCTTGGACTGATTGTTGGATATTTAGAACGTGGCGAATGAGCTTTTTTGTCTTTAGTCTCTTCTGTGCTGAATGAATGTGATGAACTTGATAATGATCCAGATGACTGGCTGGAGCAATCCTCTTCATTATAGGGATTTACCAAATCTGTCATGGTAGCTCTATAATGTAATAATAAATTAATGAAATCATATTTGATTAATAATAAATTAATAGTGTTAAGCACAGAGAAGTACCTTATATAAGGGTGATGCATGTTACACAATTAAAAAAATAATATTATATATAAATGCATTATATATATATATATTTTTTTATTTTACACCCACCGCTGTGAGTAGTGAATTCTCTGCTCAGCCTCTGGCAGCTTCAGTACTGTCCACTGCAACATATAGTAGGACTGAATCATACAGGCAAACGTCTCACTGATATGGTCATTTCATTTCTGATCTGAAAGGCATAAAGCAACATGTTACATCCATTTCTTAATTGCATAAAAACATAATTTAGATATTTTTGTAAAAGAAGACCAGTTGTTCTTATAGACCAGTGATAGCTGTTTATATTGCTTTAAAGGGGTCATATGATGCGATTTCAATAGTTCCTTTCTCTTTGGAGTGTTACAAGCTCTTGGTGCATAAAGAAGATCTGTAAAGTTGCAAAGACTAAAGTCTCACACCCAAATCAGGGACCAGCCAAGACTGATCACACCGGTGTGATCGTACGCTTCAGGGACCAGCCAAGACTAATCACACCGGTGTGATCGTACGCGTCAAAGGGTTTTAAACTTGGCTGTAGTTCATTTTTTATTTATTTATTTATTTAGTTTCAACAGTACGCCTATTAATCTTTGAATATACTGATTCAAATCATATATGATTTTATTTCTTTCAAAACAAAAAAATAAATGATTGGTAGAATTACAGTAGAAAGTATGGGATAAGCCATTTAAGTCTTAAGACATAAACAGCTCAAATATAACAGTTCTCAACAAAATTATTTAAAACATATTTAAAAATTGCTTTATCTCCAATAAGTAAGTTAATGTGTGTGTAAAGTTCATAATATATAATGTAATAGAAGGTTATCTTACCTTTGGTTTTACAAAAGTTACAAAAGCAAATGAGCTGTGTTAAGTGGAGAACAAGAGTTTCGTAGACTTCAGGGTGTGTCCTTTATCAAGAACTTCCTCCTGACAGCAATTCCCTGAAGACACAAACATGCTGCAGATTTAATATTTGTTTATTATTAAGTTACTTCAGAATAGAGCAGAATTTGTTACTTATCACCACACAAACAGGACTGGTGGAATTTCTTTCCGTGTGTTTCATGTGATGCCCCCTTAGACCAGAGTAATCAATAAACTGTGTTAACAAGTGTTGCAGTGATTTTTTTCCTGCCTTTAACCCACATTTAAACACAACGTCATGAAGTAATGGTAATGGTCTATCACCATGTTCTCAATTTGAAGCACCTAAAGGAGAATTGTGAGAGCACAAACAAAGATGTATAATATGTGCAAGCAATCAACAGAATTTCACTAACATGCAGTTTCCAAGTGCATTTGTTGCAGCTCACCTTTACCTTAAACCCAAACCTGATCTTTAAAAAAAACACAGCTTGTATGCAACCATTGAAACAACAGAAGACCTAAAAGCAGGAAATAACTGAAACAACTGTAAATAAAAGAGAAGCAGGTGGACACAGTATTCCAGATATGCAAACTAAATCCAGCAGACAATTCTCAGAAACCTTAATGACATGTAAACCAACTACTGTAGATGTGCGCCCTTGAAGAATTTAAAGTATTTATTAAAATAGAATCAACTCACAAGAGGCTTTGATCAATGTCAAGTACAAAACACAATAATTAACCAATTGATTTGTGGGTTTCTCTAGCTCAGCTGGTCGAGAATGGTGCTAGCAACACCAAGGTAAGGAATTTGATTCCCAGGAAACATGATCCAATATAAAACCTAATTTTTTTTATTCCCATTTGATTTTACAGCAGAATTTTAATCTGAAGCTATTTTAATGACTAACTATTAATTTCATTGTCTTTCCTCTTACATAAGTACTGAAAGAACAAATAATTCTCATGTTGCTTGTTATTTATCTGCTGTTAGTAATATTTCTCACAGGGAAATAGAAACTATAAAAAAGACCACAAAACCTCTGACTGCAGTGAAATGATCGATGAATAGCTGAAATTTCAAACCCATTGTTGTGAAAGTTTATTTAAATAACATATTTTGCATATTTTTGCAACTCCCCTTACCAAAAAGTAGTATACTTCAAGCTTATTTTAGTAAGTATACTTAAGTAAAGTTCAAGTATATTTTTCAGTATCCTTGGGACTAAATTGGCCCACTTTCTAGTATATAGAAGTATACTTTTAAGTATACTTTAAGTATAACAGTAGTAATTTTTGAGTACACAACTAGTTTACATCAAAATATTTAGTTTGTACTGCAACTATACTAAAATTTAACTTATAGGTATACTGATAGTTTACTAATTAAATACTTGTAGTAGCATTTTTAGTACACTTTGAAGTATAGTCTCAGTAAACTACTAGTTTAGTAGTTTTATACTGCAAGTATACTCGTAAGTTTTCTTTAAGTGAACTTTACATCATACTTTAAGTATACTACTATGTCCCTATTTAGGTATTAATTTGTATATATTTTGTTACATGAATATCTGAA